CCCGTCGTCCCCGAGCAGTCTGAACCTGTTCGGGATGTAGAACCTGTGCAGCAGGTTGCCCCTGACCAGCAATCTTCACATGCTGATATGCTGATGGATCAGCTCTTCTCTGATCAGCAGCCTCACCATTTTTCCGCTGAGGAATTGGCCGCCAACCAGGCTGATTTGGCGAGCCAGTTTGAGCAGATCTCCCTTCAAGATCCCGCTCATGGAATGCTGGAAAGGGGAGGCTGTCCAGCAAGCCAGATTTGGTCCACATCGGGCTTCCTCAATGGGCATAACCTTCCTCCGATGCCGGTCGAGGAGGCCGAAGAGTGTATTGCCTTGGCTGCCCTGAAGGTAACTTCTTATCAGGTTCTCATTTTTTTTCCGGTTCATTAATTTACCAGGTTCTCATTTCTTATTTGTACTCGATCAACAGGTAGGGATCTACAGCCTGAAACTCAGAGAGGCCAGGCAGGCCAAGGAACAAGGGCTGCTGATGGCCAAGGAAACGGCTGAACAGGCATCAGAGGCCGAACGCCGGGCTTTTGCCGAGGAGCGGAGGAAGCTAGAAGCTGAGGCTGGGGAGCTTCGTGTCAAGGTGGGCTCTCTCCAGGCCAAGATCGCGGCAGCTGAGGCCGCTCAGGTCAAGTTTTCTGAGGCCCCTCCTCAAATCCCGGACGGCCCGGTTGAAATGTTAGTTGATCTATCTGCCGTTCGGGATCAATTCAAAGCTTCCGAGGAGTTTCTGGCTCTAAAGGAAGAATACGCCACCGAACAGCTCCCTGCTGTCTTCGGAAGGCACCTGGAGAAACTGGCCGGGGAAGAGCGCCAGAAGGAGGGGGTCAGGGTGCTTGATCAGCACCCTATCACCAAGGAGTGGGCCGACAATCTTGCCCGGGGAGTCTACAACTCAGGTTGTCAACACATGCTTCAGCCTCTCCTCCCCCTCCTAGAAAAACAGATGGGCCGTTCGGTGCAGCCCTCTGACTTGCCCTCTGACCTCCATCCGGGTCATCTGAACGCCCTGATGGCACAAATGAAAAAATGTCGGCGATCCCTGGGGATGGAGGTCGTGCAGGTTGTTGACGAAGAAGCTGATGAAGACGATGATGAAGAGGGTGAGGACCATCCCGAACAAATAGATTAGACCTCCATCTGTACCCCTTTTTCTTTAAATTAGTATTTTTTGTACTTTCCGGCCAGTAGAGCCGATGAATACACAACTTGTTTTGCAACTTCTCTCTCTAATTTCTTTTCCTGTATTCCATACTTGTTTTTTCACTCATCAATTTGACTCCATAGTTTATAGCGATCAGATTTGCCGGTTTGCGTCACCCCTTCGCTAAGTCCAGAATTTAGGATTTTACTATTGATCGACCTGTTTATTCGATATACTTCATAATGAACTCCATAGTTCATTATGGAGTATAAACTATGTTGCTTCCTGTTTTTTTTTTTTTTTTTTTTTTTTTTTTTTTTTTTTTTTTTTTTGTTTCTCTCCCCATCTGTTCGGGGTATAAACTCCTGTACCTTCCTCGTCAATTTTTTGGTAACTGTCTTCAGCAGTCGGGATGTACCGATTATACTTTGGTGTATCCCGTTCGGGGAACCGCTTGTAGCCCCCTTTTCTTCTCTCCCTCTTTTTTTTCGATAATCGAGAATTCAGGATTCGATAATCTTGTTAACACATGTTGCGTATAATGAACCGTTCAGTCTGCATCTGTCATATTCTTCTATGTTAGATAACCATACTGTTCGGGTACGCCCATCATTTTATCACCGTGCTGAATTTCCTTCCCATTCGGGGGAACGTTTGTAGCCTTTTTTTTTTTCTTATCCTGCCCGGGGGAACGCTTTAGGAGGTTCGTGAATTTTGCTGATCTCAACCCCGTTCGGGTGTTCACTCACCCCAAAGGGTGCTTTAACTTCCCTCAACCGCCTTGACACGTGTCTATCATTCATTCGAATTCCTGGCGGTTGTATTTCCTTATATAAGGATGCAGCTATTTTGTTTCAGTTTTTTCTGCTGCTTCTGAATTCTCTCAAGCTTTCTCTCTCTAGAACTTTCTCCGTTATTCATAATTAATGTCTACCTTTTCTGGTTCGTCAGACTCCGAAGATATGGCACCTACTTTGATTCGCCTTTCGAGGGGAAAAGCTCACCCCAAAGATCAAGGCACATCTACCCGATCGTTGGGCTCTAACGGGTCTTCTGCCTCACTTCATCCCGAACAGCCCCTCCCTGATGATGGATGTCAGTCGGGAGATGACCTAGCCATCTATAACAAGGGCATGCCTGAACGGCCCCCCCGTTATAGTTTGAACTTCCACTGCATCAGGAAGCAACGTCAACGCCTTCCTGCTGATGCAGAACAGACACTCCGCCAATTACTACCGCCACCCCCGTCAGTTTTATGCGGGGTATATTAAGCATCCCATGCGGCATCGTCCGGGATGTGTGCTGGTTCACATGGACGCGCTGATCGCCGGTCTACGGTTCCCGTTGCACCCTTTTATTGTGGAGTTCCTTCGCCGGGTCTCAGTACTGCCAGCACAGTTTGTGCCTAGCACTTATAGGATCCTGAACGGTTTTATCGTCTGGTGCCATGAGTTGGGGATTGCCCCTAGCGCCGACCTCTTTTTGCACTGCTACGGCGTCCAGCCCTATTGGACCACCGGGTACCTGCGGCTTGTCGCCCGCCCTGGCCGTTCGCTCTTCACCGACAACCCCACCCCTCCAGAAAGATGGGAGGAAAGATTTGTGTTCGTACACGTGGGGTCGCCGCTTCCTTTTCCTGATCGGTGGAACACCTACCCCGTTCAGGATGCCTCCCCAAGGGTGGATGCAACTATCGTCTGCCAGTACGAAAGGCTCCGTCTGGCCGGTTCCAAGAACCTGCGGTCCTTCTTGACTCCTGCCAAGATGCTAGCTGCTGGCATTGGTATGTTCCTTCCCTTATTTTGTCCGTTCGGTGTATTTGTCAATCTCTTGTTCATTTTTCTTTGTTCTTTCCTGTAGGTGTGATTCCCCCTGTCTCCATAAAGCGTCCTGCTCCTACTCCTTCCTCCACCGCCATAGTTAGCAAGGGGAAGGAGAAGGCTATTCAGTCAGGTTCTTTGGCTGGCCGGGAATCTGGGCCAGTAAACAAGCGGCCGAGAATCGAAAGCAGCGGCGCCTTGGTCCCGGTCGATCATGTCATTGATCTGACGGACCCTTCTGTGGAGAGGATGCCTCCGGTCCCCTCCCCTTCAAGGAAGCTGGGCAACAGGGGAGGTGTTGCTTCAGATAGTCTTCCGATCCCCGATCGGTTGACGGTGGAGTTTTCCGCCATGGGCCCCCGAGCCGAATGCCGGACGCTGTTCGGGCAGACTGCATCCTCCATGTGGTGCAGCACTTCCTTGAAGGCTGGAGATGGTTTCACCAACCTGACCCATTGGTCTGATTTGGTCGAAGCAGGCCATGCTGAGTCCCTTAAGGTATGCCTTTGACTGTTCATTTCTTCCTTTTCATAACATTTTTTGGATTTGTTCTTACTGCTGTTTCTTTTTTCACAGGCCGGTACATACTATCACCGGGCCTTCCTAGCAGCTGAACGGGAGATGACCCTCCTTCATCAGGAGCTGGACGAGAGCCAAACCCTTTTGGCTGCTGCTAGGAAGATGGCTGCTGATCTCCAAGATCGAGCCAACAAGGGTGACAAAGCCAGGGAGGAGCTGGCCGAACTGGAGCAGAGGCTCCAACGACGCGATCGGGAAATCCGTGATCTGCGTGCCAAGGTGAAGGTTGCCGAAGCTGCTGGCCTGAAAATCGAGAAGGCCAAGGGGGATAATCCCCCTGCCCCCTATGCCGCCGATGTTTCAAAAATCACCACGAAGGCAGTGATTGACTTCCAAAGGGGGAAAGGCCTGAACCTCGCCTTAGAGAATACTGCTCGGGAGTTCCTTGGCAAGCATCTGGGCGAATTCTTAGAGAGGAGCAAGGACCCATTACATGATGGCCTCAAGCTTCTTGATGAGACCCCGTCCGGCACAGCCTTCGCCAATGCTCTAGCAAGGGACACCCTTGTTAAGTGCCAGGATATGCTGGTCGACCGGAATCTGGAGGTGATCAAGGAATCGTTCGATGAGCCCTTCGACCCCAAGGAGGAAGGTTTCGATCCCTTATTCTGCCGTGCTTATCAACGGGTGATGGAGAAGAGGCAGAAAGCTAAAGATTCAGCCAATCCCCCGAACTCCAACCCGGATGCCGTGCCGGACAAGGATCCTCCCGTAGCTTAGTTATCTCTGTTGTAATCCCATTTTTTTTTCTTCTCATGTATAATTCCCGGTCAGTAGTGCCGAAGAATAAAGATTGATCTGTCTCTGAATGACTTGCTTCCCGAACACTCAAGTTTCTTCTTTTTTTTTTTTTTTTTTTTTTTTTTTTTTTTTTTTTTTTTGAACTCAGCATCATGATTGAGACGTAAGCTGTTCGACCCGTTCCTAATCACCAAAGTTGAGGTGCAAGCTGTTCGGTTGATTTCCGCCGGTTGTTCTTTATTTCCGAACGCACAAGTCACCAGTGTTAAATGCTTGCTGCGCCCCCGAGCACCATGTTTCAGATGCACGCCGTCCGGTTTATTACCGTCGACTGGTTATTCCTTGAACGCGCAAGTCATCAATGTTAAATGCTTGCTGCGCCCCCGAGCACCATGTTTCAGATGCATGCCGTCCGGTTTATTACCGTCGACTGGTTGTTCCCTGAAGGATAAAGTAACCTGTTCGGGTTACCATCCGCGTTTTCTCTTATCCGCAAGGCAATCACCTCTTGCTGCAAGACAGTTTCACAATTCGTGTAGTGTCTGCCATCTTCCAAGCCCATAATTTCGATGCATACCGTCGGTCTTACCGTCCGGGGTCATCCATATTCTGAGTTTGAGATGTCCATCCTGGACCGTTGAAAATAAGGCTCCCAAATCGGGTCTCCCCCTTATTCTCTGCCAAAATGGAGACTCGCCTCCAGGATACAGCTCGGGTTCCACCATCATAAAGTTCAGGCGAGCTGTATGCCTAAGGCAAGATTTTAAGACCAGAGTCCCGATCCCCCGCTCGGTCACCCTATGACTTCGGATGCCGCCCGGTTCGTCCTACTCAAGATCTTTTACACCATCCCCCAAGCCGAGTCCGGGCTTGGTATCCTGCACATTGTATATTTTTTTTTTTTTTTTTTTTTTTTTTTTTTTTTTTTTTTTTGTGCTGAGATGATGGCTCCCCATGGATCGAGATAAATGATATCTATAGATCAAGGTGAGACTTTTGGCCGAGTTTGTGGTGATGCCGTTCGGCATGTTAATGCCGTTCGGCTTGCAATATTCCTCTTAACCCTGGCCTCTGTGGAAGCATTGTTCTCCCTCTCTCTTTTTTTTTTTTTTTTTTTTTTTTTTTTTTTTTTTTTTTTTTTTTTTTTTTTCTAGAGGTGGCAACAGCCGTTTTTTATTGATAAAATTTCCGCAAGTGCGTAGCGTTCCATATCCCTGCCGGACAGCCTTCGGTATCCTGTAGGAAAAAAGTCCCTATCCGGTATTTTTTCCAGACCCGGTATGGTCCCTCCCAATTCTTTGACATCTTCCCGCCCTCTAGCGGTTTGCTTTTTTCTCTATTCCTCAAGACAAGGTCTCCGACTTCGATCGAACGGATTTTAGCCTGTTTATCCACATACCTCTTAGTCGCCCGGTGATATTCCTCCATTCGTAAAGCCGAGAGATCCCTTCTTTCTTCTATGAAGTGGAGTTCAGCACGCAGATTGTCCTCATTCTGCTCAGGATCATAGTGGATGGTTCTGTGAGTGGGCACCAAGACCTCAGTTGGGACCTTAGCCTGAAATCCATAGGCGAGGGCGAACGGTGTTTCTCCTGTTGCTGTTCGGGGAGTTGTTCTGTATGTCCACAAGACGTAGTTTAACTGTTCGGGCCAGGTTGACGCGTAATCTTCGAGTTTCTTTTTTATACCATCCATGATGGTTCTGTTCATGTTCTCCACCTGCCCGTTCGCCTGCGGATATGCTACGGAAGCTCTTGAATGCTTGACTCCCCATCTAGCGAGGAATTCCTCGAAGTTCTTGCTCACAAACTGCCGTCCATTATCCGTGATGACCTGCTCGGGGAGCCCGAATCTGCATATAATATTTTGCCAAACAAAACGTTGACATTGAAACTCCGTGATACTGGCCAGGGGTTCGGCTTCCACCCATTTGGTGAAGTAGTCAATCCCTACTATGATGTACTTCCTTCCTCCGGTCGCAGTAGGTAGGGGCCCTAGCAAGTCGATCCCCCATCTAGCGAACGGTAATGATATGGTCATTGGAGTGTAAAAGGTCGCAGGCCGCCCAGGTACTGGTGCGTAGAGCTGACATATTTTGCACTTCTTTGTGTGCCCAAAACAGTCCTGCTGAATAGTTGGCCAATAGTAACCCTGCAGGATGATTTTCCTAGCCAGGGTTTTTGGCCCCTGATGGCTGGAGCAGATACCTTCGTGAATTTCTTCCATCACAGCGGCTGCCTGATCGGGTGGAAGGCATTTCAGATATGGCCCCCCGAACGTCTTTTTGTACAGCTGTCCGTCCACTAGTTCGAACATTGGGGCTCTTCGCTGTATACAAGTGAGGTTGTACACGTCATTTTTATCGTTCGGCAGAGTCCCATCCTTCAGGTAATTTGTCAAGTCAGTGACCCAGCTTGGAACGGCATAGGACACGGCATCTACCCGCACAACCATTGTTGCCGGTGTGGTCAGTATTTCTTTCTGTGCGAACCTCTGGATGTGTGCGGGGATGCCCGGGGCATGATCGTCCCGAACGGCGCATTCCAGTTTGGATAGGATGTCTGCCTCACTGTTTTCGATCCTGGGAATCTGGTCAATCACCACCTGTTCGAACCTGCCGATTTCTTCCTCAACCAGTTCCTTGTAGGCTTTTAGCCGTTCTTCCCTAACCTCGGCAGATCCATTAATCTGGCTTACCACCAGCTGACTATCCGAACGGACCTTTAATCTGCTGGCCCCCAGGGCCTTGGCATACTTTAAACCAGCAATAAGGGCCTCATACTCGGCCTCATTGTTGGTCACCTTGAAGTCAAAGTGTACGGAGTAGTATGCCTTGAACCCCTCGGGGCATGTGATCACAGCACCCCCACCACAGCCTTTGCTGCTGGATGCTCCATCCACATACATTTCCCACCAATGGTCCTGTACTTCCCCGTTCGCTCCTTCCTCAGTTGATCTGGCAGTGCATTCGGCAATGAAGTCAGCCAAAGCCTGTCCCTTGATCGTGGGGCGAGGCTTGAAGTCTATTTCATACTGCCCGATCAGGAGGGACCACTTGGTGATACGCCCACTTGCCATAGGATTTCTCAGTATGGTGGCCAGGGGCTGGGTGGTGTAGATGGTAACTGGGTGGGCCTGGAAATAGGGTGCCAGTCGCTTGATGGTAGCAATCAATGCTAAAATGGTTTTTTCCAGTAGGGTGTACCTGGTTTCTGGCCCGTTCAGGGCTTTGCTTACAAAGTATATAGGGCGCTGAACGCCCTCATCTTCCTTTAATAAAACAGAGCTGACCGCCAGATCAGCCACAGCCAGATACATATAGAGATGTTCCCCTGGGTCTGCTTTAGTCAAGACCAGGGGGGAAGACAGGTACAACTTGAATTCCTCAAAAGCTGCCTGACATTCTGCTGTCCATTCGAACGGGTTGGCCTTTTTCATTATTTGGAAAAATGGAATGGCGCGATCGGCCAGTTTAGCCATAAATCGGCTCAAAGCCGCTAACCTTCCGGTCAACTTCTGAACTTCTTTCAAGTTCCGCGGTGCCTCCATGTCCATGATTGCTTTCACTTTCTCAGGATTAGGCTCAATTCCCCGCTCGCTCATCATATAACCCAAAAATTTGCCCCCCTTGACTGCGAAGGCGCACTTTTTTGGATTCAGTCTCATGTTGGCCTTCTGCATGATCCCGAAGACCCTTTCCATATCCCGGACATGATCCTCCTTCTTCCTGCTCTTGATTAGGATGTCATCTACATATGCCTCCATGGTGACCCCCAGTACCTCTTTGAAGAGTATGCCAATCATTCTTTGAAAAGTGGCCATTGCATTCTTCAACCCGAATGGCATGACGATATAGCAGAACACGCCGTCCGAGGTGACGAATGCAGTTTTTTCTGCATCATCTGGGTGCATGAAGACTTGGTGATAACCCCGGAAGGCATCCATAAAGCTCAGCAGTTCACATCCTGCCGTTTCGTCCACCAGCAGGTCTATTCGTGGGACCGGATAGGGGTCCATGGGGCAGGCTTTGTTCAGATCGGAGTAGTCCACACACATTCTCCAAGTAGATCCTTTTGGAGCAAGGACCACATTAGCCAACCATTCGACATGGATGACTGGTCTAATGTGCCTGATTCTCAGTAAGGTGGCTACCTCTTGCTTTGTGAATTCCCGCCGTTCGGACCGCTTGATATCTTTTCTTCTGTTGGACTGGCCTGGCATCTGGCCGAACGGCCAACTTGTGGCAGATGAGGGCCGGATCAATTCCCGGCATATCTTCGGGTCCTCGGGCAAATAGGACCTGGAATCTCTTGAGGACAGCGATCACCCCCTCCCTGATTCCCCCTTCAAGGTCCACCCCGATCGCAATCTTACGATCGGGAGGGGAATCAAGCTCGATGTATTCTAAGAGGGAGGCTGGCTCGGGGCGTCCCTCGAACTCCGTACGCCGGGTCTGTACCTCAATGCTGTTTACCCGCTGTCCCCGGGTGGTCATTTGTTTCAAAGCTTCCCGGTAGCACGTTCGGGCTATGGCAGGATCTGTTCGAGCCACTCCTACACCAGTGTCAGTTGGGAATTTGATGCATGAGTGTCGAACAGAGGCAATTGCCTCCAAATCTTCTAGCCCCGGACGGCCCAATATGGCATTGTGGGCACATGCAATATCCACCACCACAAACGTCATCCGGACTGCCGCTCGGTGAATTTCATCACCAATTTCCACCAGAAGCTGGATGGTGCCCTCTGCCTCTATTACATTGCCGGTGAAGCTAGCCAGCGGTGTCTTCAGCTTGGTCAGCTGGTCCTTCTTTAGCTTCATCTTCTCCAACGTGCGTAAATACAGCACGTTCACACTACTTCCCGTGTCCACCAGAACTCGGTGGATCAAGGCGTTGTCTATACACATACTCACCACTAGCTCGTCCCTGTGCGGACTCGGTGAGTTGGGTAAATCAGCCACCCCGAACGTGATTGGCTCTAGGCGGCCCTTCTTTGTGGGAGGTGCAGCTACAGTGGCGACATAGAGGCTGCGCTCAAATTTCTTACGTTCGGCGGCCGTATCCCCGGTCTCTCCCCCGCCAAAGATGACTTTCACCTCCAATCGTGGCTTTTTTCCCGGATTCCCAGACCCCTCAGCCTCCTCTATAGGGGGAAGGTATGAATCATTACTGGGTTCTGCATCCCGCTGGGCATCCCGCTTCCAGCTATTGGATCGGGGAGGGCGCTGACTGGGGCTGTTCAGGCTGGTGCTGACATACTTCCTCAGGTAGCCCTTTTGGATCAGGTCCTCAATTGCCACATGTAGGGCGTGGCAATCCTTCGTGAGGTGCCCGTTCCGTTGGTGGTATCTGCAGTAGGAGCTTGGGGTAGGTCCCATCACGGGCCTTGTGTCAGTAGGGGGAGGAATGGCGTTATGTTCCAAATGGAAAACACCAGCTATAGACATGACCAGGGGGGTGAAGCGCGTAGTCCTTCGATGAGGTGCTGCAGCCGCTGGTGTGGGTCCCAGACGTTCTGCCAGTCTTGAAGTGGGAGGCTGCGGGGCCGTTCGGTCCCTTATCCTGATCTCTTCTTCCAGGGCCGCATAGTTCCTGGCCCTTTCCAGGATGTCTGGGTAGCTGGTCCCCGGATTCCTCTTCAGCTCCCTGTATAAATCTCCCGTCTGAAGGGCATCGGTGAAAAGAAGGATGGCCGTCTCATCTGTCATGCCGGTCACCTTCAGGGTTTCGGTCCTCCACCTGGTGAGGAATCCGGAGATTGATTCTCTAGGCCCTTGCCTCACACTGGTTAGATACCCGAAATGTAATTTCGGGGTTGTGCTGGAGGCGAACTGAGCCAAGAACAAGGTGGATAGCTCCGCAAAGCTCCCGATCGACCCGGGTTGTAACGTTCCGAACCATTCCTGGGCTGGTCCCCGAAGGGTACTGAAGAACAGCCTGCATATTGCCGCGTCGGTGGCCCCCAATAGCATGAGGCCACCCTGGTAACTCCTCAGGTGTACGTGGGGATCTCCCACCCCATCGTATGCTAAGCCGGTCGAGGGACGGCAGTCCTTCAGGATTTCGGCGTTCATGATTTCCCTAGTAAAGGGAGAGGTGATCCCAACCCGTGCTGGCGGGGTTTGTTGGGGCGTCCGATTGACCTGCTCTCTGAGCTCAGTCATCTGTCTCCTCATTTCGGCCATTTCGTCATCTTGGGCCGTTCGGGGAATGTGTGGTATCCGAGCATCCACACATTCCGGTATTCTGTTCTGGGGAGGAGCAGCTATGTTAGCCCTCCTCCGGATGAAGCGTTCCCCATCCCTCTGGATATATTGGAAGTTTTGTCCAACGGGATCTATCATGGGGGTAGGTTCCCTGTATCCGTTTCGAGGGGCGGACGGGGTTCGGCTGGTTGGTGCTCCTCGTCTGGGGGTATGGGCCCTCCAATGGTTCCTGCGGCGTTCCTCGGAATGAACTGAGGCCATCGTAGTCTCGATGTCCTCCTCTTCGTCAAAAGATGGCATGGGACGCAACGGGGATGGTGGCTCATGAGTTTCATCCGTGTAGCCCCGCTCCTGTTCGTCCGCCATGCGTTGCATGGCCTCCGCCATATCCCTCATCAACTGAGGGTTCATCCTTACATCCTGGGGGATGATTTGCTCGAACTCCCGGGTGGCACTGCCACTGGCGTGTCCTTGCCTGGACCACCCCTCAGAGGATCTATGGCCTCCTCGTCCTCTGGATGCAGAACTCGGTGTAGCGGTATGAAGCCTAGCCATTTCAAAAAATGGTGCTTAGATCAGCTGTTTTCCTTGAACTTTTAGTTTCGTTTCCCACAGACGGCGCCAATGTTGGGGTTTATTCCCGAAGATCCGAAAGCCCAACACAAGCCTTGGATATTATAGGGATATTGGGTAGGGTTGATTGAAATGTGTGTAAAATATAAAATAGTGAAATGATATCCAACTCAAGAACTTACTTATATTCTGTAATTAAGCAATTACACTGAAACTACCCGAACGGTAGATGAATATGAGATTACAAGGATGGGAGATGTAAATCTATTGCTAAGTTCTGAGTATTAAAATGCTAACCCTTTACAATGATCTAAACATGGATATTTATACTAAAATGGGGTTGGGTAAGGTGGACACGTGGTCGAATCTGGTAGGCTATCACCTCTGCCATGTAAGCACCCATGCCCCCACTTGCTGCCGCCATGATCCAGCATTAAATGCGGCCTCCACTTGCTGATTGCCCGTTCGGTCAAGGTGTTCGGTGTGTGGGACCCCGTCGTATGTGTTAT